TTTAATTTAAACAAATCCTTTTCATGTTGCCTCAGAAGTGCAGTCACAAAGTGGACATTTAATTTCCTATGCTATAAATGTTTTAAGACACTTACAGTGTATATAAAGTGAATCATAACATTGTGTGTAGCAGCAGATCACCTAATCTCACTGACAAGCATAGAACCATGTACACAGGATGTAAAAAGAATCAAAGCAGGTAGGTCTTAGAAAGCCTTAGTCCTTCGAGGGAGGTTTCAGTGAAATGTCAAAACTTTTACTATGACTCAGAGTTGACATAAAAAGCATTTTAGTGTGACAAAAATTAAACACTTACTCACTTATTGAATGTATACATCATACAAAAGAAATATCAGTTACAATAACAAATATAAAAATAATTTTAAATTTGTCACTTTGGGGAAACTAGAACATATATAAGATACAATAACTTAAGAAATTTTTTTTTTAAAAACAACTTGTCTGAATGAAACTTATCTACCACATATTTGTAAAACAATTAGAGGACAAAAGCTAACCTGTGGTAATAAAATATCAACCATATTTTTGTTGATTAAGAGTTTCAAATAAAATAATGTTTTGAAAGACTCACTGCTCTAAAATACTCACTGAAGCATGTGACTTTTGTGTCTCATCTTGAAAGCAGTGACATGGAGGGTCTTATGTAGAAAAGATGACATTCTAAATAGAAGGTAATATGCATTTAAGCACAGAGACAGCCCTTCCTTTTTTCACATACAAATGTAAGAAATTAATAACAAACAAAATCAGGTACAGAAACCAAAACTAGGGGCCAAGTGAATGCCTGACTGAAGAACTTGTATTTCAAAGGTGTTAAAATAGGAAGCACCGAAGTTCTTTGAGTGATCTAATTATATTTTGGAAAAATATTCCATTCACTACTCATTCATTGGCTATGTATTTTTGATGTATTTCTGTGCCTTGATCACTAAAAGGATGGCATAGTCCTTTTCTCTGAGGAGCTACAGGCTATTTGGGTGATCTTGGTAGCTATGTGCATCTTACTCTGGAGTGAGAAGAAATTAGAGGCATGGTATATAAGTCCCTAGATATATACAATGGACCATACTATGGGCAGGGAGCATAATTTCATTGTAAAGTAATAGAGTCTGAGTCTAGAGGGGTGACTATGAAGATAGAAAGGATACATTTCATCCTACAGATATTATATGGTGAAAGTACATATGCTTGATGCACTTGGTGCATAAAGAAGGAGGATTAAAAAAGTAACTCCATTTAAACATCTCTATTTTTCATTCTGTATTAAAGGTATAAGCTAATAACTTATTCATTAATGTCTTCAGTCAGTCAAAAGCTAATATCAAAGAGCTTCCATGTACTAGTTATTTGCAGAATCTACTTTCACGAGTCATCCTGCATGAGTAAATTTGTTTAGCATTATTGTCTTTTGAATTTCTCTAATTAGCAGTACTAATTTTACATGGAGAGAAAGATACAGCTGGTTGAAGTGAAATACAGTAATTTGTGATGGTTCTTACTGTACTGTTTATCCTAATTAAAGTAAGACAGTAGCATTTATTTATTAATTCAATTTTTCTTATATCATTTAGAAAAGATATCTTTTATAATTTAAATTTCTCATGCCTATTTTGAGGATAGGTGTGAGTTTTTTCAAAAAGACTTAATTTGGCTCTACTTTCAAAAGTTATTTGAAAGTACAAGTAGAAATAGAAAACCTTATATACTTGCTGAAAATATTCTGTCATTTAATCTTTTTGTGTAATTCTAAAACAGTGGTATAAATGTCAACCTGATGTGCGGGAAGATAATTTTATTTTTATGAAGGCTATGGTTTCTATCATTTTAAAGTATGGCAGTAATTAGAGTTTAGTTTCTGATTTTACATATGGGAATATTTGATCACTTTTATTGTGTTAGAGAGGAACTTCTGTTCCCAGAGATGAGGGATTAACAGAGTCCAGACTTAGCCTTCTGCCATAAGCAACTAGAAATCTTGATGAAATATACAAAACAACTGTGTTCAGACGTTGGAAAACAGTACATGACCTTGAGTTCATGGAAGTGAGGGGAAACGAATAAGGTGAATCCTAAAATCACTCATGCTTTCTGCCTGGAGACAGAAAGACAGAAACAATTTCCTGATTGTTGTTCATTTGAGAGAGAAAACAAATGGAGCTTGGCCATATTGCTAATTTAAGAAGACAGAATCAGAGTTTGGGAGGACCAAAATAGCTAGAATTTGTAGTGCAAAGTATGGAAGATGATGGATCTGTGCAAAAAAGAAGTCACAGAAATTAGCATAGGCATTCCCTTGAGTATTTGATTGAATACCAGTCTACATGTCAGTCGGTTGGAATTTTGAGTCCAGATAAGGAACCCTTACTAGGGAGATGGATTCCCAAACTGACATAGAGCCAGGAATTTTCCAATTTTCACCAGCCAGAGTAGAGATATCTTGCTGAATACGTAAGGAATTAAGTAAAAGCTCTTGGAAGGTCACATCTTAATAATGAGGCGAAACTATTCCTTGAGCAGTGACTATTCTAGACTTGCTCTAATAGTTTAAAATCAAAGCTCAAAGGGAACAAACTGAGCTGTAAGTTGCTTAACTGTTTGCTCAAACAAAGTCCAACACTCTTTTAAAAAAGGAAGAAAAATAAATCCGCACTCTACACCTTAATACACACAATGTCTTGCATCTGGCCAAAAATTTACAGATTTGACCAAGCAGCAAAATGTGTCACATTACCAGGAAGAAAACCAAGCAATAGAAACAGTTCCAGAAATTACATTGATGTTGAAATTAGCAGTCAAGGGCATTAAAACACAAGGATAAATACGTGCTAAAAGATTTAAAAGAAGATATAAATATAAAAGGAAGAAAAATGAAAATATAAAAAATAACAGAATAGAAATTATAAAGATGAAAAATAACATATCTAAGAAAAAAACATTTTAATGGATTGGATTAACAGCACATTTGTTGTTGTAGAACTACAGGTCAATGAACTGAAAAATATAGCATTAGGAAACAGGCAAATGAGGCACAAAGAGAAAAAATTAAATACTGAAAGAAATGAGCAGACTCTCAGTTACTCTCAGAGTAATACCTGGGGGGTAGACTATAAGTGCAACTGAAGCTCCAAAAGGATGGGAGAGTGAAGCAAATCAGAAGAAAACCTGAAGAAATCATGGCTGTAAAATTTTAAAAGTAATGAAAATGTAAACCCAAATCCATAAAGCTCAGCAAATTCTAAGCAGGATAAACACAAAGAAGTCATTACAATTAAGTTGCTAAAAACCAGTGATAAAAAAATTAATATTATCCAAAATAAGAAAGGGCTGATACATTCAGAGAAATGAAATAACAATTATGGCAGGCTTCTTATCAGAAACTATAGGTGAGACAAGAAAGAAGTAACATCTTTAAAGCACTGAAAGCAGAAATAATAATAATAATAATAATCTTTAATCTAGAATTCTATTCTCTAAGACAATGGAATGACATAACATGCTGAAATTATATATATATATATATATACACACACACACACACACACACACACACACTCAACTTAGACTTCCATACCAAGTGAAAATGTTATTTTTGAAATACTAAGGCAAAATTAATACTTTTTCAAACAAATAAAAGATGAGGGAGGTCATATTCTCAGGCTGGCACTGCTGTAAATGTTGAAGAAAGGTCTTCAGGAAGAAGAAAATATGACCAAAATATGGACCTATAAAAAGTAATTAAAAGAACTAGAAATGTAAATATATGGGTAAATATAAGATATAATGTCTTTCTTATTTTAAAAAACATATTTCAGAGATGACTGTTTAAAGCAAAAATAATAATTCATTTGGTGAGGGTCCATTAAATAAATATGTGGAAGTAAAATGTATAAAACTATAACCTAAAGGATGGGAGGGGAAAATGGAAGAATATTACTGTCGGGTTCTTACATTATAAATAAAGTAGTATAATCTTATCTGAATGTAAACTATGATAAATTAGTAGTCCATATTGTCAACTTTAGAGCAACCATTGAAACATAGCAAAGAGGCCTAACTAATAAGCCACTATGGAGATAAAATAGAATGCTAAAAAGAAGGCAGAAAAAAAGAACAGATAGGACAGATAAAAGAAAAATAAGAGATGATTGATTTATTTTACTGATTATTATAGAAATTGTAAATGTACGAAACAATAAAAGGCAGAAGTTGCCAGACTAGAGATAAATGCAAGACCAAATTGTGTGTTGTCTACAAAACACTCATTTTAAATGCAATGTGTTTTTATGTTTATTTTTGTACTACAGAGTGTGAAAGTGTTCACCAAACAAATTGAAAATGAAGAAAGTTTAAACTGCTCAGATATTAAGCAGCTCTCCAGTAATTTTGAACTAGTAATTTTGCTACCAATACTTGTTATGATCTTTTGAATTCACTAGAGAAAGTCAGGCAGGGCAATACTTGATTCTGTATTCTTAGGTATCATTCTGTTTTTATGTATATATAGTTGCTCTTGAGTGAAATTGTCTAATTCTTCAGTTTTCCATAATTACAACAAAATTGTATAATTACTTAACTTTTATGAATTAATAAGATTTTATTATAGATATTTTTTGGTAAAACTACTTTCTCAGAGAGGAAAAATGTATACTTTTTACTTTTTTTGAGAGTAATAAATATTAATATAAACAAGGATTAAATTAAACTGTTTCATTTTTAACTCTGCAAAAAAATGTAGTCAAATAACTCTATAGAATAAATTATTATTGAAAAGTCTCCAAACCCAGCATGGAGTGAATTGACATTTCCATCTGAACTCTAAAACACTCAAGTATACACATTCTTAAGATTCCTCAGTATATAAGATTATTTCATAGTTAGTCTTTTTTTCTTTATTCGTAGTCTGAAAACAAGCCCTCATCTGAAATAGAAACTTTTCTGGGAAAACTATCTTTAAAATTCATGAAATATCTATGTTATAGGTTATACGGAAGGGAGAAGTGAGTTGCTGTTGGATTTGCACGGCCTGCAAAGAGAACGAATATGTGCAAGATGAGTTCACCTGCAAAGCTTGTGACTTGGGATGGTGGCCCAATGCAGATCTAACAGGTAGGAACTGCCTCACTTGGAAACCTTGTCCCTGACTATTTGCCTTTCCAATGTGTCCGTCGCTCAAATGAGAACGATTAGCTCATGTCTTCTCAATGTTAATTTACAATGCACACTTTTTAGTCCTCATGTCAAGGAATAGGCATAAACCTCATACAAATTTATATTTGCAATCATTTCTTGAACATCTACCGTGGATGAGGCACTACTGTAGGCCCTAAAAGTAGAAAGGTAAATATCCCAGCTTTTATTTTGTGTAAAATCTATCAGGGAACAAACATGGAAAAATATAATAGAACATAATATAATTATTGAAATAATAGAGATATCTATAAAGGGTGCGTAAAGTTTGTTAGGCAGGCAAGAAGATGAAAGGAATTTCAGGCCTAAAGTAGAACACAGGAAACATGAAAGTTGATGACACCTTTGCAGAAAACCGTAGGACAAGTATGTGGGGTTGTTAGGTAGGCACAACGGCCCAGTAGAGTAGTGGGCAGAAATGAGAATCGACAAGGACACTGGTGGGATGGCAGAGTGCTTCTGTGTGACTTTCCTCTACATGTTTGGACTTTGGCTTTAAGCACAGGAGAACCACTAAAGAATTTTAAAGTGGTGAATGACATCATGATATCTGTATTTCTGGTATGCTTCTTGTGGTGATATAGAAAGTTGTTGTATTGATGCAAGTGAGTTATTTGAAAAGGAGTGGATTAGGACAGCTAGAGTAGGAATGGAAAGGAATAAATGAATGCAACAGATGATTCACTAGTAAAACCAATGAAATGCAGAGGGATTGATTATATGAGTTTGTAAGTTTCCTAAGAGTGATGTTCATATAAATGAGTTTTGTTTTTCACAGACCTTGTTATGAGCTTACAGAGGAGAAATGATTCATAAAACTTTGCATAAATTTTAGGAGCCATAGAGGCTTTTCTTTATCTGAGTATATAGACACTTTATCATCTGAATAATCTAGCCCCTTATCTTGTCATCTTAGAAAGAGGGAGCTGAGGCCTAGAGAGGTGAAGTCGTATGGCCAAAGTCAGGAAAATAGTGAGAAGCAGAACCTAGTCCACTAACCCCTGACTCCATGCCTTTCTGGGTGCTGTTGAAAGTCATCCGAAAATGTAATATTCTTGATGGTTGGACACTTTTTTACTTGTTTCAAAGTAAGAATATGCAACTAAGAAAACATGCAGTTTATTCAAAGTACGTCAAAAATGACTAGGTAAGTAGAACTAGGTCACGTAACTAAAATTATACTTACTAAGTGACAATATCTTGTAAAATGTTAATTTTGTTAGGAAAAAATTAAACTGAGCAGCAGAAAGCTTTTATAAGTCAGCTAGTACAAAGGTCCTTTTTAAAGGGAAGAAAAGTAGATCAGAACATTTTTGAAGGTATGAACTTCATCTCACTCATCTTTTTATTTGCCGGATAAATTTCATGCCTAAAAATTACCCAGGAATTACCCACCTCCAGAGACTCCTCTTTGCTCATTCTGGAGTGGAACTCAGAAGATCCTGATGCAATTACTCCCTGTCCCACCCATAAAGAAACACCACTCTCTGGCGCATAGCCTGATGCCTTGAACATAATAGCTACTTAATACACATTTGTTAAATTGAGGTAATTAGGAAGAAGGGACTCACCCAAGGTCATCGAGGTCAATGCAGTTGGTTAATAGAAAAACCACCATGAGAATTCAGGATTGTTTGTCACTGGACCTAATGAATGCTCTCACTCTGCCATGGCTGCATGCAATGGCTTGGCTTGGAAAAGCTTTTCCAACCTCATTTTGGACTCATGCCTTCCCTCCACTTAGACTATTTCTCTTCCAATTTTTATCCTCCTTCATACAATGTGCCTCCTGCCAGGCCTCTTTTTCTTGTATAAGTAGGTCCGCTTAGATGGCCATTGTGTTTGAGAGCTGGGATTGACTGACAGTCATCCCACTCTCCTGTTTGACTGAGATCACAGCTGACTGGGAAGAAGCTCAAAGACAAAAGTGACCTCTTTATCAGGTTAATCTCAGGAGTCAGAAGTCTTGGCTTTCAGGTACAAACATTTTTCTTTTGTCTACATTTTTTGGGCTTTCTCAAACTTCTCCTACTGCTGTATTTCACTTTCATTAGGGCTTATCTCACACATTAAAAATTTTTCTATCCTATGTTAAAATATTAAGATAAAAAAACTTTTTTAAAAAACCTGATATGATGTAATACTGGAACTCAAGGTCATGACTTTTATTCCCTGGAGATGCTCTATTGTGGGATTATTGTATATTTTCTGTCCACTGCCGAATGATCATTTCTGTTGATTAGGGATCTTTAACTTGGTAAAATATTTTTAAAATTCTCCTTGATTAAAAATAGATGAATATTAATACAATTACATTTCTAACAATTTAATATGCCATGATCTATTGTATGCATAAAAGTCACTTTAACATTCTAATGAGTTGAGCCAGCAACTCCTCAGACTGTGCCCTTAGCTATATAACAATAGTCATGCAGCTATGATTCGGTCATATATTCAGATGATGTTGCAAATCTTATCTTTAGGGTCTTTCACAATATAGATTCCTCATTCTAATGTATACTTATGTTTTAATGATCCATATTGATTCTGTGTTTCTTTTGGTCTCATACATGAATGGAAAATGAAATCCCATTTACCACTTGCTTGGTGCCATGTCCATGGTAGCGGTAGTTGTGAAATGAGAAAACTCACGGGAACAGAATACTAAAAATCAGTAGAATTACTCAGAAAAGTAAACGCATTGCCTTTAAGTAGGTGTTTGATTTATAGGTAATTATTTTACTAAATTTTAGTTAAAATGAGAAATCATTCTCCTTTGAAAAATAGTGTATTCTACTGAAGTAAAATATACATTTTATTTTTAATAGTTGAATAAAAGATACTTTAAATCACTTTAAAAGGTAGTCACTTTTAATATATACTCCATACATTATAATATTAATGAATAAAAACAGGTTTACTGTGATTTTTATTTCCATTGAAATGCATTTTTTTTTTTTTTGGCTATGAAGAAAGTAGTATATTTCTTAGAGAAAGTGCTTTTTGAAACTGTTAAAAAGTTTCTGATATTTTATTCTTGTGAAATTGCACATTTTAATTCAGCACTTAAATCTCACACTTTATTTCTTGTAATACAAAAACAGGGATCTTTTCTGCCATGATATATAGCTTGACAGTAGTTTAACAATTTGTGGACCAATTATATGTAATCCAATGCTACTCATTTATTTGTAAAAATAAAATAAGAATATTCCTCAGAAAGGCAGACTACGCCACATTTTCTCATTTAAAAAAAAAAAAACACAAACAGAAAATGCTTTATAAACATTAACTAATTTTAACAACTTTTTCTCCATCCCAACAGTTGTTGTAACCTCTTACACTAGAATCTACTAATTTATTTCATTCTGTAATAAACACTACCATCTGTTTTTTGCCAAGTACTTTTTAAAAACTGGGAATATACAGGTGAATGAAGCAATGTCTATATCCTAAGGGAGGAGCTTCATATGAAACTAGCCATGTAAACAGCCAACTATAAGTCCTACAATAGAGTTATGTGTAAAATGTCAGATAAATATGGAGCAGCTATTTTTCCCATGGGAAGAAAAAAAGCCTTTGCAGAAGAAGAGACATTTGAACTGAGCACTGAATTACAAACAGAATTTCACCTGGTAGAATTTCATTGAACTATAATAGAATTACTATTTATACTAATATTAAAACAATCAGGGAAGCATTTTGATGAAGCTTTATATGATCATGATGTAGTATTGCAAATGTTATGAATTACCCCCAAGACATATTGCATAGAATTTTATTCCTTAATTCATGTTAAATTTGACTTGACCTAATTGGAAAAAAGTCTGATAGCAAATTTCATCCTCCTCCAATACATCTGGATCTTATAAGCACAACATTTGATTCAAAAAATAGAAGTAGCTACCAGTCCTCAGATCAGAGTTGTTGCCACCTTTCTTTGGTTTTGCTCAGTAATTTGTAGTTAGCTTGAAGGAACTGACTTGTCTGATAGCTCTGAGTTCTCTGTAATAACCCTAACCATAAATACTTGCCAGGACCTGAGGTTCTCAGGGTTCAGATATGCTATGCACAACTCTCACAAAGTCCCCCTTTTGAGTTCTGGGGTCAGGTGAACACTACTCACCACTGGTTGAAGGCAGTCTCCCCTCTTTCTAGTCTTGGGATAGCCAAACACACCTAGAGGTTGGATAACTGTTTTTTAAAAACTTCAAAACAGGACCTCGAAAAAAACCACATAACATGACATTATATAACTGGACAAAACTGACATTATAGCTATTTCCCTCAAAATGGCAAAGCTAATGTTTCTCCAATTTAGGATAAATTTAAATTTATCCTAAATAAAAAATAAAGAAAAGAAAGAAAAGGAAAAGGAATCTAAAACTTTTAAGAAACTTACTCAAAATATAAATTATTAGTCCCAGTCTTCAAGGGATTCTGTTTTGGATGGTTCCAGATTGGCATTGAAGAGCCTGGTTTCCATATATGAAAAAGACTCTAGGATCTTCCCAAGAAATAAAGCAACTGTAGTAGAGTTGCAAGTGTGTTTCTGGGGTCCTGAAAAACTGCTACTGTTACAACACGAGATGACTTATATCCCCTCTAGCATAACAACATTGTTCTTCATTTGTATTTGATGTACTGTATAGGACAGAGTTATTTTATAGCTAGATTTGGACAACTTTATGATTATCCTTGGAGAGGCTTTAGTATCTATCTTTGACTATTGGTCTCTTTATGGGAACTTGGATTTACGATATGCAGTTTAAAGTTTAAAATGTGTTTGGTGGCAACCAAATCCAGTTTGCTCACTGATGGATTTCTCTTGAAACCACCAATTACTGACTTGGCTACATGACTTGGGGGTGATAAAAAGACTCCACTGAAACTTCTGCCCTAGCTAACCCAAAGCCACT